TGCCACAGGCATGGGAATAAGAAACAATACGAAATTATAATTTATTAAATGAAACAATGAATGTATAAGAATGATAAAAGTTAAAACACCTGTAATCAAATGACATACTGCATGGGATGATGGGCTTTGTTTTCCTTTTTTGTGTGTGTGTTTTTTTTTCTCTGCCTTTCTTTTTCTATTGTTATGTGATTATGTTGTCTATGTAACAAAAATAAAAAAAATTCCTATAAAAAAAAATCCTCCACAGAAATGTCCAATCCAGGCAGTGACCAGGAGGACAACATGACAACAGGACAATATCTTTATAACCTATTTATTCATAAAAATATTCTTTGTGTGCACCTAGCTGGTTTAGCCACAATCTGACCCTTCCCTTCACATTTCTTTAAAAAAAAAAAGATTTCCTGTCACAAGTCATACAACATTTTGACCTCAAAAATATAGGAAAAAAATCTATTTTAGAGGTTACCTGCTGCTAGTATTTCTCCATAAATAGACAGCAACAGATCAGAAAAGAGGCACCAGACCTTCATTTTTAGAATAAGTACTTTCTGCCTGGTGTGCAAGAATAGCAGCCTCCCAACTCTTAAGCCTTCCAGGTGTTTCAGTGGAACTTTTGGGGGATAGTAGCATAAAAATCCATAAAAGTATTTTGTAAAAAGAACTGTGAAATGATAAAATAACTATGTAAAGTTAAAAAGTTCCATAAAAGAATCTGCATAATTTATGTTTACTAAACTCAGAAGCACCATCAGTTCAATATTTCTTTACAATGTTTTGAAGACAGATAAAAATGTAAGTTTAAGTTCCATTTTTTGTTGACTTTTCCTGAAATTCCAGTCATTCAATATCTTATCTAACATGACAGCTCACTACTGACATTCTACAACTTGTTAAACAGAAGAGAGTTTGGAGGTTTTCACAAGATCTATGAACCAAATCTAAACCACTATTCTAATCTCTAGATACAGAAAAGACTGATAGCATTTCCTTACCTTATTTTGAATGTACAGTTCAAAATAATCTACAGTTTCATCTGTGAGTTGCTTCATAGTAAGGATTTGCCTTCTATATATATCAAGAAAAAGCTTTTGGATATTTATCAGAAGCATTAATTTCACATCTGGTTTTCTTGTCTGCTACCTTAAAATCGTGTTTTCCCTAGCAATAAAAAAACATTGCAAAATTATCTCCACTTAACTGATATTTCCAGTCCAATATTTTTTTTTACTTTTAGAATTTTGTTAAGAAAGGCAGTTTTCCTATATATTGGAGAAATTTAAATACCAAACATCACAACATTTCTTAGATAGAGGCTCAGTTCAATCTTCCCCATATCATTGGTAAAATATTATGTTTCTATTCAGACCTTTGCTTCTGCACCTGTGTGCCTATTTTTACCTGTTTTCAAATTACAGCCTGTGGACTTTGTTCCTTATCTCTCCTTTCGATCTCTTGTTATATTGACAATAAATACCATGTCATTTCAGCCTTGTCTGTAATTTGCTTTTATTTCTTGACTGTAAATACAAAACTGAGCTGTCTCTTGTTAATTGCCAGTTGCCTAAAGAAGCATACAAATATGCAAATTATATAAAAAAAGGAAGGCAACTGATTGGCCCCTTTATCAGTGGAAAAGGAGTACAATATGCAAAATGTTGTATCAAGATAACAGAACATAGGAGACACTCCATCTTGTGCCAAAATTATTGTATGTTGCTAGTAGGGTTTTGACTGCCATTGATGCCATAAGAGACTGTCTTGGCATACCAGGCAAAGCTAAGGACACAGTATCTGTGCTTTGGTTCACATCTATTAGTTTGATATGCCACATTTCTCCCTAATGCTATAAATGATACATCTCAGATTATAACCTGAACTATTTCCCCCCATATATACTTACCTGCGCCTCAAGATCTTCTAATGAAGACTTCCATCAAAGGAGGCCACTACAAGCCAGAGTGTTTTTTCTCTTGGGGCATCCCATTTATGCAATGCTCTTCCCAACTGGTGTGCACAGTAGCATCATTTTGTATTTTATTTGATTCTGTTGTGTATGTTTCCACTCACATTTTAAAGCATGTCTTGTTGTAAGCCACCCATAAAGATTTCGTTTTTAAAAATAATTTAAAACTTTTAAAAATTATATGATTACAAATCAATTTGAATAAGAGTGAGGGTTCAAGCTCAAGATTGGCTTGGACACTAGGAGCATTCCCTTTTTGTTCTTTTAAATAAGAAATTGGTATACATGAGATTTATTTATTTTTAAGTATAACCAACACAAATCAGGAGTAAGTTGTCCATTTCTAGTGGTTAAATATTTTTGAACATGGAATCCTATAACTGTAATGGCCATTTTTCTGTAACCATTAAATTTAGATTTGAGCAAATCACTCCAATTCAATTACAGCAACTTTAGGTTTTTTTAAAAAAAGTTTTCTTAGTATATAAGGGGGAAACATCAAAATGCCTGCAGCTGCTTCAATTTTAACAGTTTCCATACTTTTTTAGCATCAAGGACAATAGGTCTTGGAAAATTCTAAGCCTGCAATTTCAGTTGAATATCTTCAGTGGTTTCCACACAATACTTTTTTGAAGTATTTCTTTCTGGATCTCTTTTAAAGCAAAAAGCGTGGCATGAGAAAACACAGGGCAGCCAATACTGCCTAATAGTCCAGCAAAGAGCCTTAATCACATTGAATGAATGAATGACAACTGATAAAGGTAATATATGATATGATATTCTGCCTCTGATCACTGGATTTGTGGAGCCCTAAAAGAGCTAATATTGCAAACTTGGGGAGGAGCCCTCAGCACTGGCAGGCTTGATTGGGCCAATGTTATACCTTGAAGCAAAGAGAGGTTATAGAGTTGGTGGTCACAGGGATGGAAGCTTGCATTATATATAGACTTTTCATCTTTTATTCATGAACACATTCCATTTAGGCTGTTATCTCTTTGTGTTAACTCATCACCATTTCACTTACTGATGAAACTTAAACTTTGTTTGTACAGAATTTCAAAGGAGATTTGACCCAATAGTCGATTCTTGACTGATTTGCCTTGCTTGTGTTGGACCCCCAGTGGTGTTTCCAAAACCAGGACAGAAATGTAATAATGCATTAGCATGTCAGAGTGAAAAATTAAGCTTGTAACTAGGTGCTCAGGAAACTGAGAGGTGAATGAAGCCCAAACAATGTTAACATTTCCATCTCAGAACAGGTCTAAGAGGCAGAAAGTTTAAGAAAATGACAGATGAAGTGGGCCAGTTACATTGGCCAGCCTCTCATTGGGCAACTTTGCAAATTGTTTTTAACAACCCTAGAAGCAGCAGAATCTATAAAATCTGAAAAATGGATGCTTTTGATTAAAGGTCTGGCCAATCAAAGCAAGGGATAAAAACAGCAAGAGGTAAAAACTGCACAGAGTTCGAGTGGTATGTCCATTTATGTAAAAAGACAGCTCTGAATAGATGGGATATCTAAAAATAGGATTTAAATGGGGGAAAGTTCAGTAAAAGCAAGGCAGCGGAAACCAGCAAATTGTTATAGTTTTATTCCTCTGAACCTGAATTCACATGCTGTTCTCTACTGATTAGACCGGCTCTACCAGACATATCCACAGCAAGCCACAAATTTGTCAAAATAGTGAAATGCGTGCCTTGACGTCATGATGTAAACTTCACCCATTATGTACTTGCAAAGAGAGTTTGTGTTGCAATACCATAGCACACATTTTGTTATTTGTTCCTTGTACGCCCTACTCAAGTGTGGCTTTTCTTTCACCTTCACCCTTATTCACCCTCACCCTCAAAGGAATACAGTATATTGCTCAGCCCATTTATGATGTTAATGGTACCATCAAATACACTTCATAAATTAAGTAAACTGAGGTAGACAAGGTTTCTGCATTAATAATTGATTTCAAGGATATATTCCATTATATTCACATAAAGATTTCTGTAGTCCCTTGATATTACACAAATACAAAGGTGAAAGTGGACAGAGAACCCATTTTTTCCCAGATGTGGAAATACAATAAGTTGAAAGAAATCACGGAGAATCTTTGGCAATAACTAGAAGTATATCTGAAAAATGATGTCATGGATCATAGTATGATTAGTTGCCTTTTATAGTATCAATCATTGCAACTTACAAATTTCTCTTCTTTGCAACATTATCACACACTATAAAATCCTAAACATTCATACAATTCTGTATTATATACAGCATTAGATTTTACAGTATAAATGTAACATCTTGCAATATATGAACCATTTTTTTCCTATTCAATAGTTAATTATAGCTTTCCATGGTCAATTTTTAGTACAGTAAAATAAAACTAAAGTGCAACAAACATGAAATTCACTTAACAAAAACAAAATGCAAAGAAGATTCTAATATATGCTGAAGATTTGGCTTTGTAACAAATGGATTGCCATGATTCAAAACTAGAGTTCACTTGCATATGTCTTACTGTCCTAATCAGTCAGCTCCATGTATCAAGGGAGCCTCCTGGTGGCCATAGTCTTCTATTACAGTCTGATAATTTAAAATCATAATTTATTTTTTTCTTAAAAGCACAATATCATATTGCTACTGTCACAATTGCACCTGGCACTTAAGTAAGATTTATCCAACTTTTTTTCCACAAAGAGAGCATAATATTCAACAGGGATCCCTCACTTGATCATCTGAGTCTCTTCACTGGCATCATAGAATTCTTCATTGTCACTTTCGGTCCTGGATGAATCTTGGTCAGACTAAAACAGAAGTTAAGAGTTTCATTACAGTAATACTTCTTCAGCATGCTTTGGATAAAATATTTAATAGGCTCAATCTTGAGACTGCAATAATATTTTACCAATTTATGGATGGAAGACAGAAGTCTTTAGCAAGTTTACCTTCTCTCATTGTTTTTAGCATTCCAACTGCACTAGACCTAATATTAAGAATAATTTACAAAGATTTTAAGGATTTAAAAAGTATTTAAATAGCATACATGAAAATGCAGTAACAACTAATGGGAACTAAGCAAACTGGTATATTCCAATAAATGTATATTTTTTAATTTCATTAGAAATACTATACAATCTGTACCCATTAAGAAAGCTGAGTGCCGAAGACTTGATGCTTCCAAATTGTGGTGATGGAGAAGACTTTTGAGAGTCCCTTAGATTGCAAGGACATCAAATAGGTCCAATCCTAAAAGAAATCAACCCTGACTGGAAAGACAGATATTGAAGCTGAAGCTCAAATGCTTTGGCCACCAAATGAGAAGAAAGGACTCACTGGAAAAGACCCTGATGTTGATAAAGATTGAAGGCAAAAGGAGAAGATTACGGCAGGGCCTGAGAGGAGTAAATAGTGTCATTGACCCAGTGGACATGAATTTGGGCAGACTCAGGGACACATAGGAGGACAGGGGGTGGTGGTCGGCGTGCTGTGGTCCATTGGGTTGGAAAGAGTCGGACATGAACAACAAAAATTCAATCTGTGCCCCAGTGAGTCATAGTTTCAGAGATACTGTAGTTCCTTACCTAAACAAAAACAAAATGACCATGTGCAGGCAAAAAGCAGTGGGAGCAGCTGTGACTTTGAAATTCCTTCAGACTTCCCCATTCAGTTTCCTTGTGAGAAGCTGGCAGAGAACATCAGAAATCTTTGTTCCTTCCTTCCATCCTTCCTCCTTCGAATTCCTGCCAGCTTTCCCATTTCCAGCATGAAAATCAGTGGGGCAGCCAGCAGGAAATTGCAAGGCTAATAGAAGAGATTCTGTTACGATGTCTCTTCTTCCATCTTCAATTCTCATCATTGGCACTAATTATGCCTATTTGACTGTGGTTTAAAATACCGTATGAAACAACCTCTGTAGATTATAAATCATATTTTATAATTTATGCCAGAAAATGGGAACTATGGCTTTGAGATATAAATGAATAATAGTTCCCTGGCCAACCAAAAATACTGGAAGTTGGGAGATATAATCAACAATATTCCACCTTCAATCCAATTAGTATGCTATACAAAACCTGACAACTATGGCTTATTTGGAAGCCACTCAAAATATGGTTTAGCACAATGAATTAATTTGGGGATTGATTGAAAATCAGCTAGAAATTTTCATGCAAAGTAATAGAACTTGAATAATTCTGTTTGCAACACTATACAAAACAGTAGTTCTATTTTTGCTGTTGTTCTATGTATTTTCAATTATCAGTCAGAAGATAGGGTAATGGTAAAGGTTCCCCTGGCACATATGTGCTACTCGTTCCCAACTCTAGAGGACAGTGCTCATCTCCGTTTCAAAGCCAAAGAGCCAGTGCTGTCCAAAGATGTCTCTGAGGTCATGTGGCCAGCATGACTAAACGCCAAAGGCACACGGAACGCTGTTACCTTCCCACCAAAGGTGGTCCCTATTTTTCTACTTGCATTTTTACATGCTTTTGAACTGCTAGGTTGGAAGGAGCTGAGACAAGTAACAGGAGCTCACTCCTTTATGTGGCACTAGAGTTTTGAACTGCCGACCTGCCGACCTGATTGACAAGAGATAAAATACATTATATAAACATAAGATAAAATACCTGTGAATCTTCTAAGATCTTCAGTGACATGGCTTCACCTTCAAGCCTTCGATATGAGCAAACTGGTATATCAGATAATGTTTCCATCAGTGGGCTATTTAGGGTTTCTGGCAGTAAGAGACTCAGAAAACCAGCTAACACACTTGCCACTCCAAACACAACATATGGCAGATACCAATATATAACTTTCTGTTAAAAAAAGAAAAGATTATTTGGGGAAGCAATTATACTTTTCATGTTAATCCCACAACCCAGCTACTAAACCTTTGGCACATTTAAATCATTTTTAGATGCTCTGAACTGTGAATCTGGTATCTTCAATACACCTTAACTGATCCAAAATTATGTATTTTCAATACGTATGTTTATTCACTATACTATATATTATATTCAATAATTTCAGTACATAAGGAACTACAAGAAAATCAAGAAATGATTTGTCCACTAATAGGAGAAGATGGCAAATAGGTGATGGGTAGCAGGGAAAAAGTAGAACTGCTTAATTCCTTCTTTTCTTCTACTTTTACGCCAAGGGAAAAACAGCTCAATCTATCAAAACCAACACAGTAGGAGACAGAAAAGGAATGCAGGTCAAAATAGGTAAGAAATTGGTAAGAGAACACCTATCTATTCTAAACATGTCCAAATCGCCAGAACTAGATGGTTAACATCTCAGAGTTCTGAAGGAACTAGCAGATGTGAAGTTGGAACCACTGAACCATATCTTTCAAAGATCCTTGAGCACTGGGGAACTAACAGGGGCCTGGAAAAGAGGTGAAGTGATTCCAGTCTTCAAGAAGGAGGGAAAAGTAGATCTGGAAATGAGAGACCAATCAGTTTGACATCAATACCTGAAAAAATCTTGAAAAAGATAATCAAACAACAGATTTGTTGCTCACTAGAAGTGTGGGTTTGTTAAAAACATATCATGCCAAACAAACCTTACTGCATTTTTGATAAATTGACTAAATTAGTGGATCAAAGAAATGCTGTGGATATAGTTTACTTGGACTTCAGTAAGACACTTGACAAAGTAGACCATGGCCTACTTCTTGATAAGAGAGAACAATGTGGAATAGACAGCAATATCACCAGATGGATTTGAAATGACTGACTGCACTCAGTGTGCAGTCCTCAAAGGAACTATAACTACATGGAGGAAAGCATGCAGTGAGGTGCCTCAAGGTTCTGTGTTAGGCCCAGTGTTCTTCAACATTTTCATAAATGATCTGAATATTAGATCAAATTTGCAGATGATACCAAGTTGGGGAGAACTGCCAATACTTTCGAAAATGCAACAAGATGCAATTCAGTGGTGAGAAAAGTAAGGTCTTGCACTTAGGCAGGAAAAACAGAATAGGTATAGAATAGGGAGTATCTGGCTCAACAATAATACTTGTGAGAGGAATCTAGGTAGTCTTTAAATGATGCTGAGACTCTAAGAAAGAATACAGAAAAGAAAAACAATTATAAGTGGTCTGGAGGCTAGACCATAGGATGAATAGTTAAGGGAACTAGGTATGTCATCCTAAGAGAAAGTTGACATAACTGTCTTCCTGTACTAGAGAGGCTATCACAGAAAAGAAGGGGTCTACGTATTCTCCAAAATAATGAAGGCAGGAAAAGAAGCAATTTATGGAAACTCATTAAAGATAGGTCCAAACTAGAATTAAGGAGAATCTTCCTGATAGTGAGAACAATTAATCAGTGGAACAGTTTGCCTCCTGGAATTGTTGGTATTCCATCACTGGAGTTTTTCAACAAAAGATTGGACAACCATTTGTCCAATAACCTCCAATAAGGTCACCTGTCTTGGGCACGAGGTTGGACTAGGAGACTTCTAAGGTTCCTTCCAGCCCTGTGATTCTGTGAAAATTATGCAAGCACAGATAAATATACAAAGCTATACTAGGCAGAATTAAGTTATCTGAAGAAGAGGACAAAATAGAAGGGAAAAAAGTTGGTGAAAAACTTGATTCTGATCTATAATACCTTACTCATGCCTTTGATTTAAAGGGGAAAGTACAACGTAATTCTCATGAAGCAGAATGAATTTCATTCTTTTGCAATATGGATTGCCTCCAACTGTTTTAGAAAACACACAATGAATCACTGAAATTTGCAACAAAATTTGGGACTAGATTTCTCATCACATCTCACACATTCTAGATTAGAGTTCTTAATCTGGATTCCTTTTAGACTGATAAATCCTATGAAAATTAAATGAAAATTAAAAATGCATCTACTGCAAGTGCATAAAACACACAAATACAGACTGCTGCCAAGGAAACTCATGAAAGAAATAATAATGCAGTGTCAGATTTTTCCCCTTGATTGGGTCATATAAAATCCTTTTGTCTTATCGCTGGTTTCACCTCCTTTGATATCTGCTCCTTTTTTTCTTAGAAGGAGGGGAAATTTGATATGAAACAGGATATCCCCTTTTGTTTTTTTCCTGGACTTTTCTTAGTACGTTTCTAAAATGCCAAAGGAGCTGAGGCAATGCTTCCTGCTTTGGCCTGGCCCTTAAGAGGAGGAAAGAACTCTGAGAAGGTTGATAACATGAAGATTGAATCCACCTGAAACACTGATAGGGATATGGCCTGACCCTATGTAAAAATCGCTTCCCAAGAAATTGAAAAGGGTTTAAAGAAAACACAATCCACTCAATTTAAACCTGTCTTTCCATGGAATGGTCATAGACCTTCAGAGTCCATGAAAACCAGACTTTACAGAACCAGTCAGAAATGGGGGAAAAAAACACTTTCCAGTGGATTTTAAAAAGAACCTGTGTTTATAACCCTGTATGTCCAAATTGATGCAGCAATCATGCCAAGAATGGCTAAAAATGTTCTTCCCCTCCATCATCCAAGCAATCAGAGCTTAGAGCAGAGGTGTCAAACTCAAGGCAAGATGTGGTCGCATCCAGCCCACGGGGCTATCCTGGAAAATGTCAGGGGCCGGCCTATATTGGTTCAGCCCAGTCTACCCGTGTCACTTCTGTCCAGTCTACCCAATGCGAAGAGGAAACATCTGGCTAGCATGATTTTGGGCCAGTATTAACCTTCGGGACAAAGTTCTGATCAACATGATTCACTTCGGCCAGGTCTATCCAATGTAAAGAGGAAACATGCCAGCAGTTTGGGGAGTGGCGTCAGGCTGGCAATGCCCATCCAGTCAGCCATGCCCAGTGAGTGACATCAAGCTGGCCACACCCATTTAGTTGGCTATACCCCCACCCCCTGAGGTCAAACACAGCCCAGATGCGACCCTCAGTGAAATTTAGTTTGACACCCCTGGCTTAGAGGATCTTAGAGTTCGATCCTAGGTAGAGGCAGATGTAGGGTCCCCTGCTTGGGCAGGGGTTGGACTAGATGACCTGCAAGGTCCCTTCGAACTCTATTAATCTATTAATATGTCAGACAAGTTGCCCTGAAAAATGAATACACTGGATATAATCATGTTGATCACTCTGTGGGAAAAGGCAAGAACTTTGTCTTGAAGGTTAATACTGCAACTTATTGCTTCATTAGATGTTGCTTTTATATTCTAGTTACTGGCTCCCTCCTGGGTCAGAAGAATAAATAAAGAAATGCTACTTCCAAACTTTGCAGAAGAGAGGTCTTTCTGAAAGTCCACAGTACAAATACAATGGAAACAGAGACCAGCAATCAGATGGTAGGTGGCAGGCTTGCAATGAGCAAATTGGAGTCTTCAGTAGACCTAGAATGTCCACAGTGTATGTGGTCTTCCATTTTCCCATGGAAACACCACTTTCCTGCAATATCATCTTGGATTGTCTTGCACTGTCTCAACAGTGGGCTTGCAATGAGAGCCCATTATGAGGACATGTTCTCAGCAAGTGGGGCTACCTCTCTGAGCCAGGACAAGGGGATTGTGTAGCTGCAGTCCTTATCATAAAATCTGTCTCTAAAAAACAATACCATAACTGTTGTGGCCCGGCAGGATCCGTAGGCAGACTCACAGAAGATGATTAAGCACAGGTGGTTGTTGATTGGCCCCTCCCAAGAGAGATTATAGGTGAGGTGTTGGGAGGGGACATTTGCAGGAAACAACCGTTCGAATTAGTAGTTAAGAAAATCTAACTGTGTATTCTAGCCGTGTCTGTTCGTTTGGACTATTTGCGTTGCTTCGTTTGAACTATCTGGGTTGCTGCAGAGCTACTCTATTGAATGTGAGTTGCCTGGGCCCTCAGCCAAAGGATTCGTTATCTCAGTAATTGAACAGTGGCAAACAGCCAAGCCTGTGTTCTGGTTTATTCACAGGCGGGAGTGGGGGGGGGATTCACAACACATAACAGTACCAGTTCTCTTGCAATGAAACAATTTAAATAAATGTCTGTAGATTCTCAGTCATCCATGTCATGGTTGTCCTAAAGGTGCCTTTTCAGGAGAAAAAGGGACAACCATGACCTGGATGACTAAGAATCTCTACAGATTTTTAGCTATACAATTTGGGATGAACATCCTTTGAATTGTGTGGGAGTAGAAATGGATTTCCAGAGGAAAAATTGCAGACTACAGGAACCAGGAGCACTACTCAGATGACCCTGAGGACACAGATAGATCTCCAAGTGCTTCAACGACCCCCTAAAAGGATGTAAATTATCAGCTGTCTGCAAGGAATATAAATCCTTCCATTCCCCACTATCCTGTCAGAGCTGAAGAAGCTTTTTGGATGAGAAGCAAAACCACTTCAAAAGAAAAAACAAGAAAGTCCAGTCGCCTCTTGAAAAAGCACCTTTGGGACAATTTAAATAAATCTACACATTTATGCTAATCCCATTTGGAGGTGCAATGGGTATGAAAAGAATAGAAAAAAATTGACACATACCAGAGATGGGACAAAAGGAGCAATAATTCCACCAATTCGTGAAAACATAGAACAGGTTCCCATTCCAACATTCCTTTAAGGGAAAAAAAAAACAGAATGATATTCATGTGATGGTTTCTCTTCCGATTTAGGATTGGAGTTATACTTCTAAATCCAAGACATTTAGGAAGTCTTAGTGTCAGGCCTGGAGCAATATTTTCTTGTGGATCTCAGGCCTGCCACACTTTCTATTATTCTACTATGCATTTGCTATTGTGGGAAAATGGGAGGTGGGATTGTACGGAGTTAGATGATATGTAGCCATAACAAAATTCTTTCTAGAAAGCCAAGGTCATCCTTTGTCTCTGCATCTCTGCACCTGACTAGAACTGGATAGGTGGAAACTGCGAGAATGGCAGTGGAAGATTGAACCATGTGTTGGACTTGTGGGTGTGGGGACTAGATCTTGAACTTTCAACTGGGTGGGAAAACCAGGAAACCTTCAGATTCGGGTTTTCCCAGATGTGCCAACATGGATCTCTTAATGAATTGGAACCTTGAGCAATACTTTGCCTTCGATTCTGATTTACTTTTGGATGCTATTTGGAACCCTGGCACTTAGAAGTTAAAATAATTATTTGAGGGCATATTTTTTTTAAACATTTATGATAATTGTACCACTGGAAATCCCAAAGCTACAAAAAACTTTGAAAGCTTTTGAGAGAAAAAGGGGGGGGGGGGAATCAACCAGCAATAATGTCAATGACATTTCAATTCAATTCAGAATAGAATTGGAAGAGATCTTGGATGTCTTCTAGTCCAATCCCCTGATCAAGCAGGAGACCCTATACCATTTCAGACAAGTGGCTGTCCAGTCTCTTCTTAAAACCTCCAGTGATGAGAACCCACAACTTCTGAAGGCAGACTGATCCATTGGTTAATTGTTCTCACTATTAGAAAGTTTCTCCTTAATTCCAGGTTGCATCTCTTCTTGATTTGTTTCCATTCATTGTTTCTTGTCCTGCCCTCTGGTGTTTTGGAAAATAAGTTGAGCTCCTCTTCTTTGTGGTAGCCCCTCAAATACTGGAATACTGCTATCATGTCACCCCTAATCCTTCTTTTCTCTAGATTAGTCATACCCAAATCCTGCAACCATTCTTCATATGTTTTAGTCTCCAAACCTTTAATCATCTTAGTTACTCTTTTTCCAAAGTCCCAATATCTTTTTTGTAATGTGGTGACCAAAACTGAACGCAATATTCTAGGTGGTCTTACTAATATTTTATAAATCAGTACTAATTCATCACATGATTTTGATTCCATGCCTCTGTTTATAGAACCATTATAAGGTCCATTGTTGAAGTCTGTCAAGATCCTTTTGGATCCTGAGCTTGTTTTCTGGCGATTCCTGCCAGTTTAATGACATCTGCAAATTGGATGAGCTCCCCTTCTAGTCCTTCATCTAAATCATTTATGAGATATTGAAGAGTACTGTACCTATTTAATTTTACTTATATTTAAATTAAATCAGATTAAGTCATGAATTTAATTCTAAGCAAGATTGTTCTGGCCTTAAATAAATTCAAATAAAAAATAAGCAAGCATGCTTGGAAACCAGGAACATTTTTTTCTAGCCTGAAAATATATTTTATTCCTTGACTAAGATTACTTCAATTTAGCCTACATACACTCTAATTAGACCAATACCTACTAAATATTTTAAACAGATTATTAGATACTAATGTTTTTTCATAAGATAGGCAAATCCTTGGGTTTTCTCATCAATGTCTTACACACAAAGATAGTAGATTCAAGTTTCCTCATTGTCAGCTGGTTCACAGAGCTTGTATTTTGACCTCTATTTCTTCATTGACACAAACTATTAGTACGATAAATAGTTATTTAACTACTTTGATATCTTGGCAGGGACTTAGTATCTTTTTTAGTTAGAAGTCAGTTATTTCTTATAGGTTTTTTCCAGGCTTTACTTCCTCTTCCTATTTTTCTCCACAACAATCCTGTAAGGGAGGTAGGCTTAAGAGAGAATGACTGACAAAATATCAATGAGTTTCTACCGACTAAGGGTAGATTCGAGCCTGGGTCACCTTGCCCCTAGTCTAACCGGTTAAACATTATATTTCAGACAGAGCTCAAATTCTAATATACAAATTCTAATGAGCATCAACTCTGATATTCCTGATTTGCTGCCTCTCTGCTGAATGTGAGACTCTTAAGAATGGTATTCTACCTCCACAAAAACAGAATGGATAAGTAGATCACATAAAATTACATTAAGTGACTACAAACCAAACTTGACTTACCTGATAACGGTAGGATAGAGTTCTGATGTGTAAATATACACAATGTTAAAGGCTGAACTGATAGTTAGTTTTCCAAGTAAAGACAAAGAACGGTTGTTCACAATTGCAAATACTCCTGTAGCTGTTGGAACAAAAAAGGATGACTCTTAGAATTCGATTTATCCCAGAATTGGTTTATTTATGTATCAAATTTAGGCACTGCCCTTCATCACTCCAGGCAGTCCTATGCAAAGTTGTCCCACCACAGGTCCCCTCCCTGTGCTGAACTCCTGAGATCTTCTTTATGGATGGCTTTGATTTGTATTTAGAGTATTTATGTGATAGACTACCATTGACAATCAGAACTAAATAAAATCATATGATCTTATTAAAAACACACATACAATTTTTTTTTGTTTAGTCAAGAAAAACGTTTTGTAATACTGTGTTTCCCCGAAAATAAGGTCCCGTCTTATTTTCTTATTTTCTTTTGACCTCCGAAATAAGCGCCAGGGCTTATTTTGGGGGGGGATGTCTTAAATTTTTTTGCCCTACCCTTCAGGGCAGCTCAGGGTCCCAGAGAAGCCAAAAATGGTGCTTTGGTTCCAGCCTCTGCTCCCACAAAAGGCATTGCTGGCGCTCTCTTGTACAGTTCTGGGGTGATGACAGTGTCAGCGTGGGATTCTGATGTAATTTCCACAATTGGGATAATGTCAGCGTTCCAAATATCATGTAGAATTAAATCAGAGTCCAAGGCAAAAAAATTTAAGACATCCCCCCCCAAAATAAGCCCTGGCG